TCCATGACATGTCCAGTGCGGAAGGCCGGAGCTAGGGGGAGAGTACGAGACGAGGGCATGGATTACATCGTTAATTTTGCTTCCCGCTGTTCATTATAGATTATTATAGATTATAAAATATCAGCAGCGAAAATTAAAATCAACACAGGGAAAATTAAATAAAACACTGTTGTTGAAATAAAAAAGAAAAATGGAACCAAGACAGATATTCATTTGGTAGTATTTTAGTTACAAATGGGTGAATTTTTAAACTGAAATAGGGGACAATAATACCAAAATTAGAGAGGGGAACTGGCTCATAAAGTATGATAGATGGCACGCGGAAATAAAATAAAATATGACTTCACAATCAGCGTCTTACGGGAGAGGTCCTTTGGAAATCGGACATGCCATGCTATTATCGGTGGAGCTGTGACTGAAATAAAAGGACGGGATAAAAATACTTATCCCCTACCTTGAGGTTGTAACAGAGAAATATCAAACCCTCGGGTGATCATTTGGTTGTCTAGCCCTCGAGGGGCATGTTACGGCATGATTTCTCACCCCGACACGATTTCTCAACCGGGTGAGAAATCGTGCAAAATTGCTGCGTTCGCGACACGATTTCTCACCCCTGCACGATTTCTCACCCCAGCTCTATTCCGTATCTTCTGTTGTGAGCAGGTATTAATTGTTACGTCATTGGTTTGTGTGAGAAAATTACGTCGTTTTCTCAAAAATTGATGACGTTACTCTCACAAACACATGACGTAACAATCAATACCTTTTCACAAGAGAAGATAACTCTGCAATACGAAAAGACGGAATATCTCAATCCCGGGATGTTTGATCTTTTCGAATACATTTTATTTTACAACAATAAACTAACTGTTTCTCTTCTTTTTAAAATCACCTTTTCTCTGTTAAAAAATCCAATCCACACATCAATTGCTTAGGAAGAAGTGTTTGCTATAGGAATTATAATAGCATCAATAGTGAAGCGATAACTCCTTACACACACATTCAGTGAGGAACAAAAAAGCGCGACGAATTCTCACTTTACCTCGTTTTGTTGACGTCCTCTTGCTCGTGTAGCATTAACGTCGTACGGAGTATCTAGGTGTACCATCTGTATATATACAATATGTAAGTTATATCTAACACAAGACACAGTCAACAATCATGGCAAGATTCCAATGACCAATGTAACTTAAGGAACAAAGAACACGAACTTTTTACACAACATAAGTTACTAAAGCAGAAGTGAAATCATTTCATTTTTTATTATAAATTATAACAATATCTAGTTGTAACGGGGACCGTTAATTAAGGCGCCCAAACTAGCCCTGTAGTCGCAAATGATGCTTCAAAAATTATCACAATGCCATAACACATCTGCATACCGAATCTGAACGAAATCGGTCAATATCTAAATGTCAACCAATCAGGGCCCCACCTAACACGGACATATTGTAAAATATAAAAAAAAATCAACGAAGGCCACTGTAGTGTTTGTAGTGACATTGCTCATTTTTATACCGAATTTTAGGGATAAAGGACACTGTATAATTTAGACTTTTCAGAGCAAGGCTGCAACAGCCATTTTGCGGTAGATGTTGACTTAGTTTTTGTCATCTTCAAGAACACCATCAAAATAATCATTTTACCAACCTATATTGCAGTTCATAAAACAGAAAAGAAATTAGAATAGCTTAGATATGTCTCCACAAATGAGAGGCCGTGAGTTGGGTCTGTTCGGAAAACTTAATATCAAATATCATTAGTGTTTGCGCTAATTTCATTAAGTTTATAAAAAAAACTAAATATACCACAATCGCAAAAATTCATGATACCGGATGATATGCCTACTCCTCACACGATTTATCACCCGGGTGAGAAATCGTGTCGGGGTGAGAAATCGTGCCGTAACAGGGGCATCAGGTAAACAACCAAAACAGTCAGCCCTGATTGATTGATTGAGTCCGGGATTTTTCTATCACACCCCAAGGTAGGGGAAGATTCTATTCGTTTTTATGTGACTAGATAGTGGGGAAAGGGGTCGTTTTAAGCAGTATAGTTGTACACCCAAGTTCGTCTATTGGATTTGGGGCCCTTAGCCTCGGGGTCACACCAACTTCATTTATATAAATATGATCACATTTGACTATACTTCAAAACAGATATGGTGACATTCAGTGTGATAAGTATAACCAACATTGCGTCTCCTCTAATACTACACCAAACTCAGATGCAAAAGCTTTCACTTTTAGACGTTGATATGTGGATATGTAACATTACATGGGGAATCAAGTATACACGAATACATACAAGAGGAATACATGCGATTTATCAGCAGATTTCAGAACATTACAGTAGATTACATTGCAAATATTTGACTCTTAAAAGTCACATCCTTAAACTAGCTCTTACGTCATAATATTTTGTTTTTAATCGTACCACTCTGACGTCACAAGTACCACGTGACCTGTACGTTCATTAAAATTCTCGTAAGTAAGGAGCGGTCACCTTTGATTACCTATATCAGAGACGTATTATACCTATATCTAGATAACGGGGCACCTCTGACCGCGCGTTGATGGATGATTCTGCATTTATTTAAATATATTACAGGTTTCGCTTATTTTTACAAAAAGTAAAAAAAAATCGTGGCCAAATGAGTTGATCTGGAACAAAGACGCTCTGTGTCAAATGTGTTAAATATCCCTTCTTCAGAAGGATATTTTTTTAGATATCTATCTTTACTTCCCTAGGGACAATAAGCATGACGTCATGAATACCTAAGAAAGAATAGACAGTGTCGTAGACGTATATATACCATTCTGTTTTGTACGTTTTTTTACACAAATTTACCATAATATGACACATTTCCTAGAAAAAAGTTTTCACGGGGAATTTTTGTTTTTGTTGTTGCAAAATTGGTTATTTGTTCGAATCTATTCATCTTGAGAGTTGCACGATATGTAAATATTGAGTCTTAAGAAAGGAAGAACAAAATACGTTTGACAATTTACCTGGTCCAAATGTCATAGCGTGGCAGGCGTCGTCTGTCCGTCGACAGTTTCTGAAAACGACTTCTTCATCTTAACCGCTGAATGGAATCTGACTAAATATGACAAGATACAAAAAAAATATATTTAACGTCGCATACAGGTAAACAAGGAACATTAGCTCTTGAGAGCTATTATTGCGACAAACATCTGTAAAATAATAATAACATATTTAAATGGAAGCAACCTTAGGTGGTGTGGATTCAAAATTGTACAACTGGAGGGGCTGACCCGCTCCAAAAAGGGGTAAGTAACATATATCAACCATATTTGATTGGATGCATTCTCATGTGGTGAGGATTCAAATGTGTACAAATAGAGGGGCTGACCCACTGTGGCGCTGAGGAGTGGGGTCAAAAAGGGGTAATTTGATCATATTACTTTGAGCGACTTAATTCTTCTCTGGAACCAAGTGATAGATATCAACCATACTTGATTGGAAGCATTATCAGGCGGTTGATGAAACCAAATTGTGTCAGTTGAATGGCTGACCCCGGGTCTGAAGGGTGGGCCAATATTTTTTTTTATTTAATTTGGACATCATCGAGATCCCCATCCTATAACTATATATACAATTTCTGAGTAGATAAAGACGAATACACATATACAGTATGCTTTCAAGATGGTTGTCGGGTCTGGCCCCACCCTTGGGTACTTATTCCCTGCGTCATAACAGTGTACAAATGCTTGGCATACCGTGATAAATACAATCCTACTTTTAGAATTGATTCTGAGGTCTGGACCCTTAGGGACTTACTTCGTGGGCCATAACTTTGAAACGGTTGCGATCCCCATCCCATTACTATATATACATTTCTGCGCATCAATTAGACGAATACAATCATGATATTATAAATGACCAGGGAGTATGGCCCCCGCACCTATTGGGCCTTATAATTCTTGGGTAATAACTTTGAAACGGTTGAGATCCACACCATAGCCATATATAGCATTGCCGTGTATCAAAAGACGAGCTTAATCATGAAATTATAATTGACCCTGGGGTCAGGTCCCAACCCCCTTGGGACTTAATTATTGGGTCATAACTTTGAAATGTTTCAGATCCCCACCCCATAACCATATATACAAAATCAAAGGGCACAAAGAGATAAACCAATCATGATGTTAAAATTTAGGCGTAACATTTATTCTGGGATCAAGCCCCACCGCAAGAGACTTAATTAACACTTAATTTTTGAAGTCATAACCTTGAAATGGTCAAAATACCCAGCCCATAACAATATATACCATTGCTGGGCACCAAGAGACGAGCACGATGATGATATAAGAAGTTACCCTGCTGACTAGCCCCATCCTGAAAGACTTAGTTTCTTGGTTATACATGTTACTTTGAAATATTCGAGACCCACACCCCATAATCATATATACCTTCGTGTGGTCGCCTCGGCGTTTAATAACAGACACACACAGTACTTATGATATTATAATTGTCCCGGGGGTCTGGCCCCACTCCTAGGATTTAATTTCTGGGCCATATCTTTGAAGTGGTTGAGATCCCCAACCCATAGCCATAAATATATAGTGAGTAATACAGGCCATCTGGGCCTCTTGTTTATCAGAGCGAGCGAATTTATGGTTAACATGAACTATATAGGCCTATATATTTCTTCGAAAATAGTGTGAAAACCCCCTGATATAGAATAATATTTTACTTCATACAAGGTCGACGAATCTCATCTTTAGGTAATTTCCATTCATTTTCTGATTAAACTCATTTCAGAGCGAATCTTTGTTTGCGTGGGATTCCCTTGTTTCATGTGTTTCTAAAAATAACCCATATAGAAACTTCTTGAAACATGTGACTAATATTGTTTACTATTTATATCACCAATGAAATGCCTGGACAGAGGATATGACGAAACAGAGATTCCCCTTGTCTACGTCACAATCTTATGCCTCTTTTTGGTAGCAGAATTGGCCAATAATATCGCGTATTTATAGTCACATGACCCAAATAATAGAATAGTGTCATAGGGGATCATACTACCACGTACCTGCGGAAAAGAGAAGACAAATACCAGGTTTCAGGGGTCTTTTTAGGTTTGTATAAACGTTCTTCTTCTACATTTATCTTCAAAGTTTCCATATCATGTATATTTAGTCTCAGAACTAGCTCGCAAAGACATAAAACCGAGGAAAATATGACGTAAAAACAACACAAGGTCGCCATCTTGTCCCCAAATACCAAACAAAACATAAATAGGGTGGGTCGAGTTTGGCGAAAACATCGTTTATTTGTTCGGGAAATTGAGTTTAAATATGAATATAGAAACAATTCTGTTTTATCTTCAACAATAATTTAAGTTATAGTTGTATTTTTCGTGTCGAAAAAGTTATTTTCACGTCGACCTAAGGCGATTCGTTTGACGCTATCTGTCAATTTTGCTGTATCACGTAGCATGGCGAAGTAGAATATGGTCGAATTGCATTCATATTACTAACATAGACGTCGTTCTTTTTGATTTTCGATTTAGGATGTACAAATATGTTTTAAATAAGTATCATGAAGCGCAAATATAAGTGCTAAAGCTTATTCGTTCTTTGTTTATTCTGGACACAGGAAGTTAATTTGATCACGAATAAGTCACGAACATGTGAATAACAGGAAATTCGTCATGTACACACGAATTCTGAAGACAAACTCAATAATGTTAGTTAATTACACAACCATTAAATCCACAGTACGTGGATTTGTCATGTTTTATACTCTATGAACGAGAAAACACATCATAACATTTATGTGGAACAGATGACTCATCTTGGTTCATGTAAAACCTTTGGGTGCTCGAACTTTGACCCATCCTGTCGTGTTACACAAAAACACAAAGACTAGGAGATCAATCTTCTGTTTGAGGTCAAAACCTGTAATGGTGATGAACCATGCTGTTATCATAAATCACATTGTACTTTGAAGGGTTCAGTGTTAATGAAATACAGTATTTGAAGGACCAGTCCAAAAATACAGTGGATATTTGTCTTGTCATGATCATTTCAATGTGATTAGAAATGTTTGATATCCTTTCTGAATTAGTGGTCAATCAGTGTTGGCCCCAGTACAGCTATCCACGTATCATTTGAGCTAAAAATATTTCAATATTGATGTCACAACTATTTTACCTATGCTTGTTGGCTTGAACCAGTTATCATGATTTACTGGTTATTGTTAATGCATATGGTATGGTAATGGTGATTGTGTCGATATTGAGGTAAAAAATAACCAGTTCATTACAACTTATATAGACCGAATATTTGTAATAAAAATAAAACAGGAAGAAGTAAAGTTTCCAGGAATTAGGAACAATATGTTCTCGTACTAAAATTTTTCTTTAAGAAAAATAACCATGTGATTATTTATTAATTTTGTACTCATTTCTATTGTCACCAGGATCAACGTTATGGAACAGAACGGTAATCAGAACTTACCACCAGTAACACTTTGTCGGTCAGGATGCGGTTTCTATGGTAACCCAGCATTTGATGGCTTGTGTTCAAAGTGTTACAAAGATGTATTAAAACGAAAGAACAATTCCTCTTCTCCAGTGAGTGGTAGATTAAGCCCTGTATCGCCAAGTGAGAAGGAATCGTCAGTGAGCAGTGTAACCTCGACACTGGCACATGCAAGTCTAGGTAAATCATCGTAAAGAAATATAACCTTTTTTGTGTGTGTATAGATAGAACTTAGAAGTTAAGCTAGTAAAATAACTAACCAGTAACACCCAGGGAAGTTTTAACTCTTTCACCCCTGAAATTGCATAATGAACTATTCCAGCCTTTGAATTAGAAGAGTTCAAATGTGTCTTCAGGGATGAATGAGTTAAATAGGAGTTTGATCAGAGACTGATTGGTCTAGGAGTTAATCCTCTCTGATCAGGAGTGTGCAATTTCATATCTGAAGGACTAGCCTTGGGCCCATAGACAGATATCCGAAAAAATAGCCTAGTATAGTGTCTTGTGAAACCTGTGAATTAAATCTACCAGTGTTGTCTTTAGACTAGTGAAATATTACACATGATCATTTTCTGACATTTTCAAACTTTTCCCCTTTCAATGTTATAATTATATTTTATGGAATTATAATTATATAAAAAGAAAACCATCTTTATTCATGAAAAATTTGCATATAACTTATATTGGAGCTCTGTTTAGACAAGTATTTAGTCGTCAGGGATAAATATATATACAAGTCCCAGGTCTTTTTTTTACTCATAGAATTTTAATGGGACTCATAGAGACTCATAGAATTTTAATGGGACTCATAGAATTTCTGGAAATACTTAAATTTAACATTGTGGGACTCTTTGTTTTTAGCAATACAGTTGAAAAGAATTGAAGGGGATCACCACCATAATTATTTTTTATAAAATGAGTTACTTCTGGTTTGGAATCTAATTCTATGTACATTTGTATTATTTCCCTAGTTGATAAGTTATATAATTAGTTACTTCTGGTTTGGAATCTAATTCTATGTACATTTGTAATATTTCCCTAGTTGATAAGTGTCTATTTTCCATGCTATGTACATTTGTGTTGTTTTACTCGTTTACAAATCTTTGCATGTTCATTCCATGCTCTGCCACTTTTCATTCCATGCTATGCTAGTTTTACCGATTGTGATTTCGTGTTAGCTTGTAGTATTCAATCCATTCCAGATTTCCGTGATCGTCGTGATGTATATAATCAGTATATTCTATCGGTTGATTTGATGCTTTTGTCATTTTTGTAATAACAGAAATTTGAAACTAACTTTTATTCAGAAATAGCTAGCTAGTGAACTTGTACACTAGTAGCCCAGCACATAAAATACAAGAGGTTTCCTCATTATGACGACAAGCGGTGCTGCGATCGTCTTAAATATTTACACAGACCACTCCTCAACCGCATCCGAATCATCGTGCTGACGTAATGCCGTTATTTGTTTACGTTTTAACTATTGTATTTTTAAGGTTCTTATATTTATTACTGTATAAATTAAATTTATGTTCAAGAACATTTTAGTGACGCCGTCAATATTGATGTAGACTGGAACAGTGCGAGAATACATTTAAGGACCTACACAAGAAGAACAACAATTAGACTTACTCAAGTTCAGAAAATAATCACATAAACTAAATTTGAGTCTAATCTTGACAGAACGTGTCTTTCCCACGTGCACTCCAAAACAGACATTAAAAAAAAGAAAATAGCGAAAAAAATAGAGTAAAAGCATACATCTATGTAGGTTAAATGTTGCAGTAACATAACAATCTCTTACCACCTTTGACAATCTGGCCCCACCACCACCCCAATTTCAATTCTTTATCACCTGTACTATATATGCATGTCTTATTCTTATATACATACATTGTATGTATATACATTTTAGCTGAAGTTTGGAGAAGAGTTTGAAGTGGCTTTTGGGACAAGATTACCATAGGTCACAGATAAAGAGAATATGAACCAACTTCCTCCACCTAACAAGTTATTTTTACAGTCAATCAGAGTAAACCATTATGTGTTTTTGTCCATACCAATAAATCAGGAGTTTTTAATGAAAATGTTTAATGGTAACAAAATCATGCATACTTTCAAACCCAAGAAAAACGTGCTGTTATCAATATCCACTGCTTCATAGACAAGTCCGTAGCAGATGTCCATTTCAAAATTTAGTAAATTCACAGACTTTATTCCGTGGTAAATTCTAATATAATAAATATATTTAGTTTGCAACACTGAACATTTTTTTAAAGTTAATATCTATGCAGCATTTATAATTACCCAGATATGCATGCAATTCCCTTTTAAGGTTAAAGTGTATTTATATTTAAAATATAAGTAAGGCACCAAAGTGTTTAATGATAGGTCAAATTAAGCATCCTCATCATGCGTGTATGCATTCAGTGAAGTTACCCTACCTCCATCATTAATTTAAGTATTACGTACTCATGCATGTAATAGATTTTGCTACCGAGATATGAACTGATGTACAATGTATAAGTAAGTCACTGAAGTCTAAAGTGTAAGTCAACTTAAGCATCTACACACATTAATTAGTGTCCTTATAGCTGTGCATTGATGCCATCATTATGCATGTATTACCTAGATTTACCCATAACACTTTTTCTTAATGGGAATGGATGGCGAGACTTAAACTTGGTTGAGCAGGGGCTGGGATTGATAAATGTTTCTTGTGAGCAGAAACGTATATGTCTCGGTTGTTGTGAGGCAAACATACAAAGATGAATAACAACATACATATTTACATCAGTCAATGATTTCATTTCATAAAAAATATCAATATGCATAAAAGCTAACAAAACAATCACTATGACGAAGTTATCAACAAGTATGCCATTATTACATATATCTATATATACATGCTATATGGGATTTTACCGTCTATATTACTTCTTTGACCCATATATATACATGTACATGCCTCAAGACCAGTTTTTAAGGAACTGATGCCTGTTTTTGACACCTGTGACCTTGAATGCATTTGTACAGCATCCCAGGTTCTAATCCTGCATATCCTGTTTTCTTTTTTCTCTTTCAACTTGTACAATGGGTTTTATTTTACTTGAATTTTCATACAACTTTAAGCTTTTATAAACCTAGAAACCCATTTTTAACAATTTATTAAAACTACACCCTATTATATGATAATCTAGCTGTACCATTTCTTAGGACCGCAGGGGTCAAATCAACCTCATTCACTTAAGAAATGTCTGTTCTTCCTCAATAATGTTTTTGACCAAAATTTACACAATCCACTCAGGCAATTAGGGGGGGGGTATTAGCGTCTTAAAGCAAAATATTAGATAATTTTCCACTTCGGGCCCGGCCTTCCTAGCCCCAGGGGTCGAACCAACCTCATTTATTTAGAAATGATGGCCCTCCCCTACTGTGGCTTCAGACTGAATTTGATTGAAATCCTTTCCGGCGTTTAGAAGGAGATAGGTCTTAAAGAAAAAGTAGACGACGGACGCTGCGCCACATGGCATAAGCTCACTATATATATGACGATTTTCTGCTACGCTTCAAACAATTTTGGCTCAAACTTAAATAGAATACAGTTCATAACCAAGACTAACCGTACTGTTGACTGCATTTCTTAAAATCTTCTGCCACAACGGGTATGCTTCCGGTTTAAGGGAGTGAACATTATTTTCCGCAAATTACGCTGGCGATTTAAGTGCCAGCCGTTGTTCTTAATGAGAACTAAAATTCTAGAATGAATTCTAGAATTTTAGTTCCTCAATAAGACGACAAGTGGCGCTCCATCATAAATGTTAGTTTCAAACTTTTATTATTTAATTGGTTTATTAAACCCAGAATGAAGTGAATTGCAAGCTAACACAAAATCGCATTCGGTAAAACTAGTATAGCATGGAATGAAAAGTGGAATGAACACGCAATAGATTTGTAAACGAGTAAAACAACACATATGTACATAGGATGGAAAATAGACACTTATCAACTAGGGAAATTTTACAAATGTACATAGAATTAGATTCCAAACCAGAAGTAAATAATTCTATAACTTATCAACTAGGGAAATATTACAAATGTACATAGAATTAGATTCCAAACCAGAAGTAACAAATTCTTTAACTTATCAACTAGGGAAATTTTACAAATGTACATAGAATTAGATTCCAAACCAGAAGTAACTAATTCTATAACTTATCAACTAGGGAAATATTATAAATGTACATAGAATTAGATTCCAAACCAGAAGCAACTAATTCTATAAAAAAAAATATGGCGGTGTTCCCCTTCCATAGAAATGGAACCATGAAAATGAATTGTAAATTGATCACCGAGTGCTTCAGAATGTAAAATTCAGATGATTTGTTTACCTGTTATGGGCCTAACACTGGCATGTACATTGATGTTCTATTTTCCAGGCACCAGTACAGAGTGCAGCAGTGCCACTTCAATCAGCAGCACGATTGTGCCGAGTTGTACGTTAGTGAGTGAGGTGGTGACTAGCACTACCCCGAGTGTGGAGACGGCCGCCCCAACTGTATCCATACACAGCAGCACCAGTCAGGCTAAAGTGGAGCCGGAAAAGGACGAAGGCGCTGTCGGTACGACCACAAATATTGCAAAGTTCTTATTAAGCTCACTCAAGTGACCTATTCTGATCGCTTTCCTTCCGTCGTTTGTAAACTGTTAAAATTTGTTTCCTGGACTCCTAGGTAACCAATAATATAATCAAGATTTGTATCCACAGATTTTGTTGTCCTACTAATTGAAAATTAGTTGCTGACTCAATTTTGATAGAAGATTCTGTGAAAATCAGTGGAATGTTGAATATCTCGACATATTTACTCAATGAGGTGACTTAGAAGTTATAACCCACCTCCTATATGCCAGTGAGTATTTCTGGTTGCTATGACGACCAGAAGAGGTGCCACTGAGCATAGCATGGCTATTGAATGCTGAAGTGAAAATAACATTTCACTCTAAATTAACCCTTCCACCACTGAGGAGTGGACTCATCCAGATCAATGTATGGTAGAGTCTACTAAAGCTACCTAGGGGTGAAAGGGCTAAGAACAGAAAACTACAGTTAATTGAAATACATGTACACATATTTTCCTGGAATTGACATTTCTTACTCTTGCTTACCAAATTGTTTTTGATTTTCACACAGGTGGTGCTGATATAGGAACAGATTCTAGCTCCCAATCGGACGACGACAAGGATAAAAAGCCCAAAAAGAATCGCTGTCATACCTGCAAAAAGAAGGTTGGACTTACAGGTATAAGCCCTCTTGTGATTCTAGAATTGATTGACCTCTGACACCATGTTTTTTCAGCAGTTTTGTTCTTAAGCTAAGAAAACCTTGACATTGCACTTCATAACATTTATATTGTCAAGTTAATCCTGATTTCTCTGTCAAAATAATCAAAAGCAGAAAGAAATTCTACCAGGGACCTTAATCTCCAAAGACTTAAAACACATTCTTTTGTGTAGGACATTAATTGGGACCCCATGCCATTTAATATGAAAAGAGCTGAGGTTTGTGTGACTTGTCATTTTCCTGTACCCTGGTCCTCAGATTAATTGACCCATTAAAAAACATATTTCAGAACTTAAGAGAAAGGTTGCATATCATGGGAGAGATATTGATTATATGCTCTGTTATGTGACCAAGTTTTGTTGGTGATAGTAATTTGACCAAAAAAATATATTAAACCCTTACAAGTAAGTCATGTGTTCAAGAAGCATGAGCCGATCAGCAGGTTTACACATTTACTGCACATGTGTATCAGGAAGTAAGACATGCACAAGAACTGCACATGTGTAACAGGAAGGAGGCATGCACAAGAACTGCACATGTGTAACAGGAAGTAAGGCATGCACAAGAACTGCACATGTGTAACAGGAAATAAGGCATGCACAAGAACTGCACATGTGTAACAGGAAGAAATGCATACACAATAGTTCAGTGTGGGTTCCTGTTCACATCGGCATGCTTTACACCAGTACAGAACAGTGATGTTTTTTATTTGCAATCAGGAAATTGAATCACAGAACATTTCAATGTGTTAAATCAGCATTATCTCTTAAATAATATATAGTAATATAAAAATATTATTAAATCTTGTCGAAGCCAAATAATATTTAGAAATTTAAAAATATTATTAAATCTTGTCGAAGCCAAATAATATTTAGAAATTTAAAAATATTATTAAATCTTGTCGAAGCCAAATAATATTTAGAAATTTAAAAATATTATTAAATCTTGTCGAAGCCAAATAATATTTAGAAATTTAAAAATATTATTAAATCTTGTCGAAGCCAAATAATATTTAGAAATTTAAAAATATTATTAAATCTTGTCGAAGCCAAATAATATTTAGAAATTTAAAAATATTATTAAATCTTGTCGAAGCCAAATAATATTTAGAAATTTAAAAATATTATTAAATCTTGTCGAAGCCAAATAATATTTAGAAATTTAAAAATATTATTAAATCTTGTCGAAGCCAAATAATATTTAGAAATTTAAAAATATTATTAAATCTTGTCGAAGCCATTTCTGCACCTGACATTACCTTCTTTGTAAATGAAACACCATGTACAGAAGGAAATTGCTCATTTTTCATTATATTGTGTGCAATACTTCTGTTCTTTTTTGCTTTATATTGTGATAAATTCAAAGAGAATTGCTCATTTCGTTACATTCAAAGAGTTTTGTGACAGAGTTATGTTTAAATATCATTAAAGTTTCCAGTTAAATATGTAATGATATAGCACATTAAAACAACATTTCCATGTCTTAAAGACAATCAAAATAGAAATGTGATGCCAAATTGAAGCTATTGGAAAGGATAAACATGAGGGCCCTGCATACACATATTATACAGAGATAATCCTCAAAACTGAAATTAACCCCTCCATGTTCCAATTTTCTTTTAATTTTGATATTGACTAAAATAAATAATTCAAAACTGAAATTGCGGTAAAAAAATCATTGGTTCACATAACTGACATGTGTCTTGTTCACATTCATTTAGTTCTGAGGAAAATTGGGTAAAAGGATGTCAATTTACAGTTTCGAGGGTAGAGAAGAGAAACATCCTCCCTTGGTGGAGATTGTTGACACTCGGCCAAGGGATGGACAGGCTAGAATCTCGTCAGGAGATTTCTCATTCTTACCCCCAAGGCAGGGGAAGCTTCTAGGCCCTTGGAGTAAGTCCTCTTTGTTATTATCCCCCGCTCAACGAGTTGACGCGGGATACTATAAATGGGTCTGTCCATGCACCTGGTTAAGAAGAACTGCTCTCATCTATAGCTTGCCTACTGCAAGTGCTATGTTGATTATACTTGTATCAATTGTGTATCTAGGGTTGCTCTACTGAACACATATGGTAGATGCTGATTTTGACCTACAAGTATACTTTACACTTCATGTTTTTAATTACTTGTGCACTGGGAGCACACTTCATGTTTTTAATTACTTTTGCACTGTGAGCAATGGATATCGATGACAGCGTCTTCTTGTTTCATTATGTTTTAATTACTTGATCTAAATGTCCTGTTTGTTTTTGTAGGATTTCCCTGTCGCTGTGGAGGATTATACTGCAGTATACATAGATATTCTGATAAACACGAATGTCAATTTAATTACAAGGAAATGGCACAGGAGCACATTCGCAGACACAATCCAGTGATCGTGGCCGAAAAAATACAGAAAATTTAATGCAAATTTATTATAAATGATTAATGTTATAAAAAAGAAAAAACTATTACTATTATTATTGGTATATGTGTAAACTTAAGAAGATATCTTTTGATGAGAACGGAGAAGTGATAATGGTGAATGTGTCAGTTGTTGAAAACAGATTTTACTGGACAAGTTAACAGGGAATGGTTGACAACACAGGAAACAGTATTTTTCCATTGTGTTGGTGGCAGATAATTTGGTAAAAAACAGGACTTTTAGTGGGGTTTTTAATCGGATACAGATTTCTACTTTGAAATGCAAGAAGATAAATGTTTTAGTAGTTTTGAAATCTTTTATTGGAAAGAAAAAAAGATTAGTAAAAACATACAAGGGGATCGGGTATTATTTCTATTTGATGAAAGCTACAGTATATAAATAATCAATGATTATGCAAATTAATTAATGCTTTATTTGAGCTCTGAAAAAACTAATTTATTTGAAATATATCTTAAATTTTAATAATTAATAATATTTCCAATGTTTTATAAAATGATAAATTCCCTGGAAACTTGATAACATCGAAAGCCTTTATCATGAGGCACAATAAAAATTAATGAAATTATAGTAAAATATTTTGTCCACCTGATGCTGTTCCTGATATATTATGCCAGAAAAAGTTATTCTTGGCTACTGACAAATGTCATTGTCAATGTATGTGCTATGGAGCTACAGGTATTATCATGTGTTAGGATGTGAGAGTTGTTAAAACTCCCTCAGTGTGATATAGGGTGTGTAGTTGGTTTAAACTGTCGCCACTGTAACAGAATGCCGGGGAAAAGGAACAGCTGGAGTCGAGAATGGGAGAAGATGACACAGAATCACTTGACTGGACCATTTTCATTTGTTACTACAGAAGAAGTGGTACAGAGACTAAGAGTGTTGATGTTTTCTACATATTTTCCACTATGTGGCTAGATAGCCTGAAAATCTGGATCCAACTCGTAATTGTGTGGCTTACCAAAAACACATTCTTCAGCGTCGAATCTAAAAGCATTTGTACTATGTACAGTATGTTTGTTGACTGAGAACCGCTCTACCCAGCTTTGGGCTGGAGTTAGGCACAACAGAAAAGTTTCGAAACTGACCTAATTTTACTTGGCACTGTTTTGGACTGGAGGTTGATTGCCTCCTGTGCTGGACAGACACACCAGCAATAAACAAGTATGACGAATGGTTTGATCCTTCAACGCAAGGATTGGTACGGGGACTTTAATGTCCAGCGCACTGTATAAAAGATTTAATTATTTCAGTGATTTTTATCAATTATGAATATATCCTAATGATTCAGATTTTATTAATACAATAGTTTAAGAAGTTGCAAAAAGATTTTTGTTATGTTTGTTTGCTCTGTGATTTTCACTGTATTGTGAGTTATATAACTTAATTCTTATTTTTTTTCCATGGAAGATTTTTTCTCTGATAAGAGATGTTTTTCCTCCGTTTGCTATCAAGGAATCATCTAGTACACTGTTACTTCATCAATCACACTTAATTATGTTGTCAAGTTATTGACTGTCACATGTGGATCAGAGAAAGGTTCAAATCTTGATGTAAACAAACATGGATTTTTACCCCAAGAATTACTTATATTTTGTGAGTTTCACATTTTTGTTTTACATATTTTTTGCTTAAATTCACCAGAGTTGATTGCAAATTTAAGTTCCTCACAATATCATTTTCAATGGAATTGATTTAACTCTTTAGGTACTGTTGTCTAGCATGCAGGAAAAGATTTCAGGTAATCTTTCCCTGTTGTTGAGAACACTGGACACGATTCCAGGTACTCCCTTCCCTTGTCTTGTATAATACTTGACAAGATTTTAAGTACTTGCTTCTCTGTAGCATGCCAGACACTATACATTAGTTTCTCCCTTCCACAATATGTCTAGTACACTGGAAAGAGTGTTTTGAAATTGATTGACAGTAAAGGGCAGACATAATGACCTAACCCTATAGAAAGAAACATCAAAATCTGTTGTGATCTTAACCCTTTCATCCCTCATCCCTGTGTATCTTGAGTAGACTCTACCATACAGTGATATGGATGAGTCCATTATGGCCTACAGTACAGTAGTGAAAGGGTTAAGGAAATGAAAAAAGCATTTTTGAAGTGAAACTGGATAAGAAATTAAGTTATTTTGAAGTGGTAAATCATAAAAAATTATTGGGTGCAACTTGAAAATGGTATAATTATTACTGATTACTTAGACTTAACATAGTGGGGTGAAGGGAAAGACGAAAAATATATAATTGCTTAAAGTTAAGCATATTTCAGGTGTCCTGGAACAGTCTTGTTTCTACTGCCTGTAATACATTGTCAATGAAATACTTTTTAGCAATTACTTCAACATAGGATTTCAATAGTTTTTGCGAATCGTTTTAGGAAACCTGAAAAACACCTGAATTGTTCATTAACAGTGTCTACAGCTACAAAGAGACTTGTCTGAATGTACAGTAGTCGGAAAATAAAATGGGCATGTTTTATAAAAAAAAGTTAGAAAGTAGGATAGAGCAAGTTTTCTTTGAAGTTTAAGTTTTCTAGAGAATATTGTTTCTGAAACTTCATAGAAGTCTCTGTCAAATATAGTACAGGTGTCTGCACATGTGTGGTCATATTTCATATTTCTTGTTGCCGTTTCTTGCATTAACATTTTTTTTCTATCAATTGAAACCTTTTTTTTTTAGCTTTTTCATACAAAAGAATTATAGCAGAGTATTTTGTGCACATCAAATAAGAAACTTGTTAAATCATTCACCCCTACATTATAAAGTAGACTTGCCCAGTCTTTGATTTGTTAAGGTTCAAATATGACTTAGAGGGTGAATGGGTTAAAAGAACAAAACCTTTTCTTAATTTCATAAGCATTTTCTCAATCTTAGAAGTGATTTTTAAAATTTCACATTTTGTATAGTCTCTTTTATATGAAATGTCTGAAATACATTGTTTAAATTTCATATTTTATGTCGTCTCTTGTGAAACGTCTAAAAGATATTGTTGAAATTTAAACATTTTGTTTAGTCTCTTGTGAAACGTCTGAAAAATGTTAAATCCTGATGACTCCCTTCTCCCAATGTTTTTTTCTGTTTCACCAATGCTGGTATAGATACTTCAGGTACTGTTGTCTATTATACTGGGCTAAACTTCAGGTACTCCTGTTTTGTATATACTTAATTGGCATTCTCCGTATATTGGCTCTTTTGAGCAAAGATACACTATAATATAACATGAAAAAGAAACATCAAAATTCATAAAAGTCTAGTACATGAAATTAAAAAAGAATCACAAATCAAACTGGTCCATTTAAAATCAGCTCACAAGTGACCGACATGTGACCTTGACCTGTGATGGCTGCAGTGACCTTGACCTGTACCACATGTGTTAACAGTAATTTCTGTCTCAACCAAGGTTGGAATACTAGGATGTACTTGACATAGTTCATGGACTGACAGCAGTATACAGTCCTACAATACTGATAACCACTGCCAACAGTTCCATCCCTGTGTGAGCTGATGTTTTAGTTACACTATTGTAGATTTGGCAGAGACTGATACGGCTTTAGTGTGTATACTACCACTGCTATCATTTCGTATTACACAACAGAAACATCGTGCACTTGGTATACTCTCACCTGGATATCATGTTTACCTTTCCAATTTTATGATTGTTTGTTGAAAATCTTACTGATTACCAAGTGATTCAGCAAGGTGTCATGTTATATTTCACTTTTTAATCTGAGAGTTATATCTTAAGAATTTCAATTTCATTTGTATGTTCGTAACCATCGGATGTATGACCAAAATCTACAGCTATTTATGTAAAATATGACAACTTTAATGAAGATTTGTTATTTAATTACAAGTGTGTTGTGATTCAGTTTGAAATTGTACTCCATTTAATGGACATGTCTGCTTGACATCAATCTCAAGTTGATAGTAAGACGACTTCCAAAATTGAAAGTTAATTAGTAATTACTAACCTGTGACAATGCAGGGAACGAGTACCAACACTTCATATTAAATAGAAATCTATATGTAAATACCTAACATGGTTTGACACACTTTACATAGATCTTCAAGTTAGCCACATACAGATTTAGATTATGTTTAATTAACCCTTTCACCCCTATGTAACTTTAGTAGACTATGCCATTATGGTCTTCAGTGGTGAAAGGGTTAAATACCAAAATAACTTTGCTGAGTTAAATGTATCGTGCCCTTATGCTTTTCAATATTTATTCCCAGTTACTGACCATGTGGCAGTGCTTTCATAACATAATGTATTATTTATATTATTTTAATTTGTTTCAAAGGATCATTCATTTTCTATTGAAATGTATATACTAGCATGCAGTGGTATTTTAATCCTTACAATACAGTATATATATCTTTTTTGCCTCTTCAAAAAACTTGTACAAATAACTGTCTTGGGATTTAGATTTTTTTTTTTTTTGAGAAAATGAGTAGAAGTGATTTTTGTGAGGACATCAGTATTTTTTGTGTGATAGTGTGTGGAGTGGCTGGGGAGTAACCAGTTATATTTCAGCTGTTGATTTAACAAGATTTTATTTTAAAAAGGCCAAGACAGTTTAACATCAATTTATATACGAAAAAATGGGATAACAGTATTAGAAATTAATTGGGGAAAAAAAGACCTTAAGTGAAAGTTTATTTGAGAATTTAATTTGTTCATCCAAATCCAAGAAAAAAATGGGATTACAAGTTTAGAATTTAATTTGGGGAAAAAGACTGATATATTCAAGTTGATTGGTGAATTTAAATTTTAAATTTTCATCCAAATCCAAGATTGGGTTGGAAATAAATTACTGTGAATAAATGGTAATGTAGCCAAGTAATGGTCTATAGCTTTGAAATAATTCATTGTAGTTTAACAGCGTGGAAGATAGCTGGCTACTTCTGTTATGCTAGTACAAATATATCATTGTTTTTAGTCAGATTATCATACATTGCTAACTAAGTAGCGACAACGCGTTCATAGGTCAAGGGGAAATAACCCAGAGTATATAATTTCAAAGGGAGAAACTCTTGATAACATAGTGTGAGTGACAGTGTAAATGAATGGTCTAAAACAAGAATAAATGTCTTGAAACCTGAAAGTTTGCAAACTTCATTAAAAGCAATTGTGTTCCCATATCTCATTCTTGTTTGTAATCACCCTGGAATAATGTTGACATCCTCACCTTGTACTTGCTGGTTCTATCATATTTCTTATCAAGGCAGATTGAAACCACTTTATTCTTGACAGTTTAACTTGAACTCATTCAACCCTGAATTTTCGTAATGAACTATTCCAACCTTTGAATTGGAAAGGTTCAAGTACGTCTTCAGGGGGAAAATGTGCTAAAGAGAGCAGTCCTGAGAAAAAAGGCTTTAGTTTACAGCATTCAGATGAATGACCTCTGCTTGAAGAGATACCAACTATTCTTATGAAGTAATACCTCGTTTAACAGCTTCTTGATGAAGAATCGGTTATAAATGAAGACTTCATACATCTAATTCTGTGAATATCAGCTGTGTGAGGTGTAGAATATTAATGATCCCTGTCACACTGCATTGTCCTTTACACAGTAATCTCCCTTTGAGTTCTGTTTGGATCTAACAGTAGCACAGATGGGATAGAACATGTCTGTTGAATAGAAACAGTTTCCCACCCTTAGTTACAGTTTTTGGCAGTGGTGCAGGGATCCTTAAGCCTTGATTTGAAATGTGACAGATCCCTGTGAGCTCAACCTATGCTTTCCATCAATCGTCACTTGGACAATATATCGGATTTATAAACTCATTCACCCTTGAACATACATTTTAACTTTTCCAATTAAAAGGTTGGAAAAGTTCATCATAAAATTTCAGCAGTGAATGAGTAAACTGTATTTGTTTATCTTTGTGGTTTGACTAACTCACCCCTGAAATTCATAAGGAACTATTCCAACCTTGGAATTGGAAGAGTTTAATTGTGTTTTCAGGGGTGAAAGAGTTGAATATTACAGTGATTTACAGATTGATTACTTCATAAATCATTTATCAGGGGAATATTTTGTTGTTCATTTTGAAAAAAATGTATTGTTAGTAAATGAAAGGAATGTTATGGTGTTAAAATGTGAATTTTTGGTATTCTAAAATAAAACCACTACTAAACTTCGAGAGGAGCCAAAGAAATTGGTTATAATGATTTTGGGAAACAACTCCTTCTTGGTAATCTATTGCAGGATGTGATTAGGTTTACTACTGGTATGTCAGTTAACTCATTCAACCGTGAAAAATCATTTGAACTCTTCAAATTTAAAGATTGGAATAGTTTATTATGAAAGTTCAGGGGTGAATGAGTTAAATCAAAGCCCAGAATTTATTTATTTTGAAAACTGATCAGAAGAATCTGTTAAAAAATATTTTGTTATAAATTACATAGGTGATGAATATGTAAGAATTTCTGAAGCATTGTTTTTAAGGATTTGGACGATAATCTTGTACACAATTGTAAACAAAGCTAGTACCGTTTGTGTGCGAGATACAGGCCATGTGATATTGTCGGGTGTTTTCATTTTGTGAATCTTTCATTCTAGCTATACTATGTTGAATAAATTGATGTAACAAATAAAAACAATACAGCTTGATTAGTTGCTTTGTACTGCTCTGGTTAACTCACCTGGTTCAAAGTCATGACATTCAGCTCCCAGTGCAAACTTAACACTTATTAACAAAATCATCTAACTCTAGTTACAAACTGAAACTACAGACACATGTTTTGTTGTATGTTGAAAATCCTTTTTCTTGTGGATTATTTTGAATGATAATAACAGTTATTTTGAAATGATAATTACAATAAACATAAATAAATTCATCAGCAGCTCCAGAATATCAATATAGGATGGAAATATATTTATTATTTGAATTCAAATTATTTACATTTTTTCTATAGAAAATTCTTGACCAGCCCGATGGCCTAAAGTGTAGGACACACAGTCCATGGTTACATTCAGACCCGTTATAACTGACCACTGACTTGCATAATTTACATTGAACTAGCCTGTTTAGCCTTTTGCACACATAGTACTGGAAGAATTGGCCACAACGTCATTCTTGGGGACCAAATCCCTGCATCATATCTTTGGAATGGCCGATATCTCCATCTTAAACTATATATCTGTGCTAGGCACAACGAGTAATATACAACCCTACTATCGGGAACAGCAGTGGGCCAGTCCTGTCCCGGGGGACTTTCTAATGGATATATCATGGAATCGGCTGAAATCCCAAGACCCTCATAATTATTTATAATCAACAGCAAGATGTGCAGAAACGAGCGCTTGTACCAAGAAGGGTCTTTGGTCCATCTCGGCCGCTGGCGATTTAATCCATAGGTCATGAAATTGGTAACATCTGAGTCCCCACCTTATCACAATATACTTGAAACTGGTAACATCTGAGTCCCCACCTTATCACAACATACATGAAATTGGTAACATCTGAGTCCCTACCTTATCACAATATACATGAAATTGGTAACCTCTGAGTCCCCACCTTATCACAATATACATGAAAATGGTAACATCTGAGTCCCCACCTTATCACAAAATACATGAAATTGGTAACATCTGAGTCCCCACCGTATCACAATATACATGAAATTGGTAACAGCTGAGTCCCCACCTTATCACAATATACATGAACTTGGTAACATCTGAGTCCCCACCTTATCACAATATACTTGAAACTGGTAACATCTGAGTCCCCACCTTATCACAACATACATGAAATTGGTAACATCTGAGTCCCAACCTTATCACAATATACATGAAATTGGTAATATCTGAGTCCCCACCTTATCACAATATACATGAACTTGGTAACATCTGAGTCCCCACCTTATCACAAAATACATGAAATTGGTAACATCTGAGTCCCTACCTTATCACAATATACATGAAATTGGTAACCTCTGAGTCCCCACCTTATCACAATATACATGAGATTGGTAACATCTGAGTCCCCACCTTATCACAATATACATGAAAATGGTAACATCTGAGTCCCCACCTTATCACAACATACATGAAATTGGTAACATCTGAGTCCCCCCCTTATCGCAATATACATGAAATTGGTAACATCTGAGGCCCCACCTTATCACAATATACATTAAATTGGTAACATCTGAGTCCCCACCTTATCACAAAATACATGAAATTGGTAACATCTGAGTCCCTACCTTATCACAATATACATGAAATTGGTAACAGCTGAGTCCCCACCTTATCACAATATACATGAGATTGGTAACATCTGAGTCCCCACCTTATCAAAATATACATAAAATTGGTAACATCTGAGTCCCCACCTTAACACAATATACATGAAATTGGTAACATCTGAGGCCCCACCTTATCACAATATACATTAAATTGGTAACATCTGAGTCCCCACCTTAACACAATATACATGAAATTGGTAACATCTGAGTCACCACCTTATCACAATATACATGAAATTGGGAACATCTGAGTCCCCACCTTATCAAAATATACATGAAATTGGTAACATCTGAGTCACCACCTTATCACAATATACATGAAATTGCACAATGGAGAATGAAACGAACATTTCACGCTACAAAAAATTATCCTTGGATCTGGCCCCGTCCGAAGGTGTTACATATGGCTTTGACCAAGAAGGGTCTTTGGTCCATCTCGGCCGCTGACGATTTAATCCATAGGTCATGAAATTGGTAACCTCTGAGTCCCCACCTTATCACAATATACATGAAATTGGTAACCTCTGAGTCCCCACCTTATCACAATATACATGAGATTGGTAACATCTGAGTCCCCACCTTATCCCAATATACATGACATTGGTAACATCTGAGTCCCCCCCTTATCCCAATATACATGAAATTGGTAACATCTGAGGCCCCACCTTATCACAATATACATTAAATTGGTAACATCTGAGTCCCCACCTTATCCCAATATACATGACATTGGTAACATCTGAGTCCCCACCTTATCACAATATACTTGAAACTGGTAACATCTGAGTCCCCACCTTATCACAATATACTTGAAACTGGTAACATCTGAGTCCCCACCTTATCACAATATACATGAAATTGCAAAATGGAGAATGAAACGAACATTTCACGCTACAAAAAATTATCCTTGGATCTGGCCCCGTCCGAAGGTGTTACATATGTAGATGGCCATCCTATAATGACCTTCTTTACAATTGGTAGTCGTGAAGAAATTATCACAACCACTACCATGATCCAGCCCGGCGCATTTAACGTAATTTCATGGGCGTAACATTGGAACGTTCTATAATGATGCATACTAGACACAAATACCCCCCCCCCCCCCCCCCAAAAAAAAAACCCCACTGGTGCCGTCAGTATTGTCTAAGGTTCTGCCCTCACCCGTGGTCTTTCGTCCAGGGATGGTAACCCATGTCCTATGACAATAAACACGTATATGCGGATCTCAAACTAGCCTACTTTTCGATTCATAGGATGACTTTGTTAATCAGAAATATTTTCGTTGAATTCAGTCACGCTTGACCTCACTGACTGAGGAGATTTTTGTCACACTGAGCATGCTAATTTTCAATAGGTGAAATACAACCCATAAGTAGTTATACCAGCTGAAATTCCTAAGGATTACGCTTCAAATAAAATCTTAGTCAATAAAGAGATTTTTGAATGAGCACTGTTGGGATGTATTCCGTCTTTTCGTATTGCAGAGTTATCGCTATTGTGAGCAGGTATTGGTTGTTACGTCATTTGTTTGTGAGGGGAACGTCATCGATTTTTGAGAAAACGACGTAATTTTCTCACACAAACCAATGACGTAACAATCAATACCTGCTCACACGAGACGATAACTCTGCAATACGCAAAGACGGAGTAGGGAAATATTGAAAACAGGTACAGGATAGTAAAAGGGAAATATCTGGATCTCAAGTGTTGTAATGAGGACAGTAGTTATTCTTGGCTTTTCATTACCCCTAAGCAAAAGACACTAAAGAAAAACCCCTTTGTTGCGACAGAATTGGGAGGTAAGATATTACCTTACGTCACAGAGATGATTATTGGTTTGTTTAAGTTTAAACATCCTCTCAACAACTGAAGTCATTTAAGGACGTGTATGTAACGTATACTCGCTTGTGTGTATGTGTGCCAGAGTCACTGAAATACAAAGCCGAAGGCACCCAGCACAGCATTCCACCCGGCTACATTAAACTGACAACGGGTAATTAGTTATTGCCATTACACTAAATGTGGAACGTTAAGCAGGAAACAACAACTGACATTTGGAAGAATATATTTGTGTGAGCGTAAATTTAAACCATACTATTTAATTTTTGGTGTGTTTGATATATTTTGAAGATTTGAAAACTCTTTTAATGTAAATATCTAACGACTGATAGACAAAGAACTTATTAGGTGAAGTAATATATAAAAATCTAAACTGGTAAACAGGAACACAACCGACTCAATTATTTGGAAGCGATTTGGAAGCCGTCATGACAGTAGAAAAATAGTTCGAGTCCTCTATAAAGAATAGATGGAAACGAAAAAGTTCTACTGTTTTTGCTGGTACTAAACAATTAAAACCACTGAATTATCTCGGTGTAAAGGATGCTTTGCTTTACCAAAACAGGCGCGTAGCTACCATGTAAGCCAATAAGCCCGGGCTTGCACATAATTTTGACAAGTATAGGTTTTCATGACGTTATTTTTTCTTGCTGATACTATAAAGTGGAGTTTCAACAGGATAGTACATGCCTTCCATAACGTCTTGAAAAAAGAAAAGGGGCCGTGTTTGCCCCGGTCCCCCCCTACACATGTATTATACATGTGTAGGGGAGACCGGGGCAGGTCCGGCCCCTTTTTTAAAACTATATTATAGTTTACAACATATCATTATCTCAGACATCAGGACGTGGGAAATGGCTCCTGAGACGTTCTAGAAAACAAAATTTGCATGGGGAGCCCCCCAAGACCCCCCTTACGGGAGGGGGGTGGGAAGACCCACTCCCGTACCCCCCCCCCCCCCCCCCCCACCCCCTGCTCGCACTATGCGCTTCGGGCGGGGGTGTGTGCCTTCGGCAACCCCACGGGGCTTACACATGGTAAAGGGACTAGCTACGCGCCTGCAAAATATCGGAAAACCAACTCGATTGAGGTGAACAACACATAAGATTGTTGGATTTTGTTTTGAATGATGAGCATCCAATGTAAAGACTTAATCTGTCTTATAATTGTCTGACGGGACTCCAGTCTTGGGGGAATCCACCCCACTTTATCGGTAAAACCGCAATTTCTATTTCATTGTCGCTGGCATTGTTTCAAAATATTTTACTGAAATGTGGAGCAAACCGGACAACGGGAAACCCTGGTTGTATAACATAAAAATGTCTTTGACCCCGTCAACACTATGCATTGCCTCTCTGTCTGATAAGAACGCTGGACGTTCAGAGGTCAAATTTGAACTTTTGTAATACTTGTGTACTGATAAGAATAACTCATTCAACGCATGGACATGTTATCTAAATAAACTTTTATTTGAATTGATGACAAGATGGCTTCCATCCAGATAATTCTAATTCTTTTGGGATTATCCATTTCCAGGGCAACAGACCGTAAGTGTATATAAACATGCCGGATATAAAGATGTTTGATGTTAATATGGAAATATGTTTTTGTAGAATGTCTCTTTATATAAAGAAATGTTTTTAATTTGACTGAATTTCTCTAATAGTCGGTCTTATAGATGATAAGTAAAATAAGGTACTGGAGTGTGTATATATACGATGCATAGCATATACGTTTGACTATATCGCTATGGAATGAATAGGAATTAAATATGTTTATAGTTTAGTCAAAATACAGAGATACAGTTATAACGTGATAACTTATGGTGTATATACATGTACCTATGTCTTATGTTTTGAGTATGAACTCAAGCGTATTGTGACGTCATGAAGAGGTACGGAAATGACCTCTCAACATTTGAGTTTATATAACGACATCCCATGAGCCAATATGATAAAGAGCCAATATGGCCAAATACGTGCGTATTTTAGCCCACCATCATCTGATGGTGGGCTATTCAAATCACTATGCGTCCGTGTTCCGTCGTCCGTCCTTTAACAATTCTTGTTATCTGTATATCTCAAGAAGTACCAGAGGGATCTTTTGATACTGATCGGATAAACAACATGGCCGACAGGCAGCCATCTTGGATTTTGATAGTGAAAGTTTGTTATCGGTATTTCTCAAGAAGTACCAGAGGGATCTTTCTTCATTTTATATGAAGGTTCCCCTTGGTGCTGAGCTATGCAGGGCAACTTTTGAGACTGACCGGATAAACAACATGGCCGACTGGCAGCCATCCTGGATTTTGATAGTGAAAGTTTGTTATCGCTATTTCTCAAGTATTACCAGGGGGATCTTTCGCAAATTTTATAGGTAGGTTCCCCTTTGTCCTTAGCTGTGCAGGGCATTTTTTTAAACTGATCGGCTAAACAATATGACCAACAGGCAGCCATCTTTGATTTTGATAGTGTAAGTTTGTTATCGCTATTTTTCTAAAAGTACCAGAGGGATCTTTCTCAAATTTTATGTGAAGGTTTCCCTTGATCCCTTCTTGTTGCAGCAGTGCCTAAAATGGACAGTCGCCTGGCGGTTAAAGTCTTGCTCCAGCGACCAAAAGTTATCAAAAGTGAGGTAGTCACTGGCCCAGCAAAAACAGTTTGGGCGACTGAAGTTTAATTAATGAATAAAATAAATGTTAGTCCCTTCCACATTGACTGGTGGGCAGTACATTTTTTAAGTTGTCATTACTTGAATTTGAATCGAACTGTCCGTGATTTAGAAAATCTGATATGTAGGTTCCCCTTGATCCTTCGCTGTGCATGCTATATTTTGAAGCTGATCATAACAACAAAATGGCTAAAGAAAGAACTTAACAGACCTTTCTTATGTTGCAATGATTTATTCTATTTCTTTCACAATAAGTACTGTACTAGTAAATATGTGAAATGACAAACTCACTTTGAAGGTTGGCTTTCATACACATCAGTATTAAGTTTAGATCAAAGGTTACCTCAAGGTGCATTTACTTTTAACATGACTCGATCAAACAGATTAGAGGAGAGAAGAGAAAAGATCGAACTGACAAAGAACTAATGAAGATGGTACAATGGTGGGCGCCAAGATCCCTCTGGGATCTCTTGTATCTAATTCCTGTTCTATGATCTCTTTCCTAGCCAGAGGTACTCCCCTTGGTTGAATCTTAATAGAAGAAGCATTTTTGGTCTCTATGTTATGCTAAGCTAAGGTGCTCCTACCAAAGGTGCCATCTTCCTCTACAAAAATATCCTGAAACTGTTTCACTAAGAGCTTGAGATGCACTTTCTTTTGAACGTTCAGATCTTGAGAACTGTTTTCTATGAGGGTTTCAAGATGTTTTGGGAGCTAACCTCCTAAGTTCTCAACTAACCCAGAACCCTCTCCACAGTCCCAATCACTCTGTTCTAGGCTCTACTAAAAGCCTGGTTTCTGGTAAGTGACCATCTGTTTTGCACTCTATACACTTTTCCGACTGAGAAGGTTTCAAAGTATCCAAGTCAGAATATCAAGAGTAGATACAACAAAAGTGTGTTTAAAACTAGCTTAACCAACTTGGAAGTTTATCTTTCATCTTACCCTAAGTTTAGAAACGACATAGGAGAGAACAGACACAGGAGACCCAGTGTCTATCAGCATCATACATGTAACATTATGCACCTGCACATCTGGGATCTCTTGTTGCAATTGTCGCAGAAATAACTAAAATTAATATCCATCACCTGTGAGATTTAAGAATACGTTTATTTGAATGGCGGATACAAAATGTAGGATATTATAGATCTGTCTGTAAAATCATAAGATGAACAAAAATAGTACCTTAGTTATTTTACAGCAGGTTTGGACACTAGCAACGAAAAACTAACAAGCCCAAATGAGAGATTGTCCCCTCTTGTTCTGTATCGCCATCGTATGGACCGTGTGTGACGCGGGGGCCGCGTTGGCCAAGGCGTCTGACACTCTCTTACCACTAGCCCTCCACCACTGGGTCGCGAGTTTGAGACCTACGTGGGGCAGTCGTCAGGTACTGGCCGTAGGTCGGTGGTTTTTCTCCGGGAACTTCGGCTTTCCTCCACCATCAAAACCTTGCATGTCCTTAAATGAACATATCTGTTAATAGGACGTAAAACACAAACAAACAAACATACAATTTGTGTGACGTTTAATGATGTGAACGGGAGTGTTGTTTCTCCACAGCTTTACAGCCGGTTCTTTTTGAAACTGAGTTGGTGAGGCAGCGTCGAAGTCGTTTCCTAAGGACAAAGCGAACGTCTTCCATGGGATACAGGTATAAAGATCTTGCATGCCAATCTAACATTTTGACATTGTTTTGATGACGTATCTGGTACAGGGTTGCATTGCCTCTTAGGGACATTGCGTCCGTTTCCTGCTATTTCAAAACTTGGACATCGACAAGTCTGAATATTTCATCTCGATAACGGTCACATTCCCACCGACGACAACTAGCCTTGTGTAATTTCCACTGCAAACCGCAAATATCACTCAAAGCCATGCACTATACCTCAAATATTGACACCCCAAGCCATGTACTATACTTTCAAAAGTGACACCCCAAGCCACGCACTATACTTCAAATATTGACACCCCAAGCCATGTACTATACTTCAATAGTGACACCCCACTGAAGCCAGGAACTATACTTCCAATAGTGACACCCCAAGCCATGCACTATACTTCCAATAGTGACAACCAAGCCATGCACTATACTTTCAATAGTGACACCTCAAGCCATGTACTATACTTCAATAGTGACACCCCACTGAAGCCATGCACTATACCTCAATAGTGGGACCCCAAGCCACGCACTATACTTCCAATATTGACACCCCAAGCCACGCACTATACTTCAAATAGTGACACCCCAAGTCATGCCCTATACTTCCAATAGCGACACCCCAAGCCATGCACTATATTTGCAATAGTGACACCCCAAGCCATGCACTATACTTCCATAGTGACACCCCAAGCCATGTGTTATACTTTCAATAGTGACATCCCAAGCCAAGCACTATAATTCCAATAGTGACACCCCAAGCCATGTACTATACTTCCAATAGTGACACCCCAAGTCATGCACTATACTTCAATAGTTAAACCCAAGCCACACTATACTTCCAATAGGGACAGCCCAAGCCACGCACTATACTTCAATAGTGACACCCCAAGCCATGCACTATACTTCAATAGTGACACCCAAGCCACACTATACTTCCAATAGTGACAGCCCAAGCCACGCACTATACTTCAATAGTGACACCCCAAGCCATGCACTATACTTCCAATAGTGACACCCCAACCCATGCACTATACTTCAATAGTGCCACCCCAAGCCATGCACTATACTTCGATAGTGACACCCCAAGCCATGTGTTATACTTTCAATAGTGACATCCCAAGCCATGCACTATAATTCCAATAGTGACACCCCAAGCCACGCACTATACTTCAATAGTGACACCCCAAGCCATGCACTATACTTCCATAGTGACACCCCAAGCCATGTGCTATACTTTCAATAGTGACATCCCAAGCCATGCACTATAATTCCAATAGTGACACCCCAAGCCATGTACTATACTTCCAATAGTTACACCCCAAGCCATGCATTATACTTCCAATAGTGACACCCCAAGCCACGCACTATACTTCAATAGTGACACCCAAGCCCCACTATACTTCCAATAGTGACACCCCAAGCCACGCACTATACTTCAATAGTGACACCCCAAGCCATGTACTATACTTCAATAGTGACATCCCAAGTCATGCACTATGCTTCCAATAGTGACACCCCAAGTCATGCACTATACTTCAATAGTGACCCCCAAGCCATGAACTATACTTCAAAAGTGACACTTTCAAAAGACAACATATAATAAATACTACACCCAAGCCATGAACTATACTTCAAAAGTGACACCCAAGCCATGCACTATACTTCAATAGTGACACCTAAGCCATGCACTATACTTCAATAGTGACACCCCAAGTCATGCACTATACTTCAAATAGTGACACCTCACTGAAGCCATGCAGTATATTTCAAATAGTGACACCCCACTGAAGCCAAGCACTATATTTCAAATAGTGACACCCCAAGCCACGTACTATACTTCAATAGTGACACCCCAAGTCATGCACTATATTTCCAATAGTGACACCCAAAGTCATGAACTATACTTCAAATAGTGACACCCCACTGAAGCCATGCACTATATTTCAAATAGTGACACCCCAATCCATGCACTATACTTCAATAGTTACAACCAAGCCACACTATACTTCCAATAGTGACACCCCAAGCCATGCACTATACTTCCAATAGTGACACCCCAAGCCATGTACTATACTTCCAATAGTGACACCCCAAGCCATGCACAATACTTCCAATAGTGACACCACAAGCCACGCACTATACTTCAATAGTGACACCCAAGCCACACTATACTTCCAATAATGACACCCCAAGCCACGCACTATACTTCAATAGTGACACCCCAAGCCATTCACTATACTTCAAATAGTGACACCCCAAGCCATGCACTATACTTCAAATAGTGACACCCCAAGCAATGCATGATTCTACCAATGACTTAACAGCAATCGACCGTGTGCACACTTCCGGCGTGCTGGGTTGTGAAAGAACTGTGAAACTGTGAACATTACTGTGGCTCGTGATACCTTGTCTTATAGATGGCCAAGGTATATGACGAACCTCTCGAGGGTTGGTGACACGTGGTCTGCCAGACCTTGGACAATCAGATACCGATCTAGTGTGACGGACGATGATATCACAGCACAAGCGAACTTTCCCGCAAGCTCTTCGACAGTCTTGACATTATTTAGCGATGATTCTGTTAGACTTAAAATCTCTCATTGACTGGTACTTCTGCATGATTGATGGGGCGTTAGCGTGCTGTATCCGACTTAGCGTGTCGTAATAGGTGACGCATAGTGTAACAAAACACGAGTGACACGTGTTGATGGTTGGTTGGAAGTTTATTCTGGTAACCTCAAGTGTAAGGTTCGGTCTCTGTCGTCTGTAGCTGTACCCAAGTGCAGTCTCTGACCGTCTCTAGCCTTCTAGCCTCTTCTCTAGCCGTCCCTAGCCCTTCTGACATTATTTCTTTTCTAGGTTATATTTATACCCCATACCCACAGCATTCGTGTTACTAGGATGCCATGATCTTTCATAAGGTCCATAAACCCATCATAATCAATTTAGTTTGCACGTGCATAGCTGGTCAGTTGAGATTTAAGATCATATCTATATAATCTTGGCTTCACTTAGCTACTTCCTAGGTATACGTAACCATCTGCACCTATACGACTATACCCTCATATATTGAATTTAACTTTCTGACCTGTACCTCCTCAGGCTACTTTTAATCAATTACCACAACTTCGTAGCACCGACTGTGTCACAATGGTTTGGTTTGGCCGTATTGGTGTTTCAAGCACGAGCATCCATGTATGTGTTGTAGGCGATATGTTGATGTATGTGTTGTAGGCGATACGTTGATGTATGTGTTGTAGGCGATACGTTGATGTATGTGTTGTAGGCGATATGTTGATGTATGTGTTGTAGGCGATATGTTGATGTATGTGTTGTAGGCGATACGTTGATGTATGTGTTGTAGGCGATACGTTGATGTATGTGTTGTAGGCGATACGTTGATGTATGTGTTGTAGGCGATACGTTGATGTATGTGTTGTAGGCGATACGTTGATGTATGTGTTGTAGGCGATACGTTGATGTATGTGTTGTAGGCGATACGTTGATGTATGTGTTGTAGGCGATACGTTGATGTATGTGTTGTAGGCGATACGTTGATGTATGTGTTGTAGGCGATACGTTGATGTATGTGTTGTAGGCGATACGTTGATGTATGTGTTGTAGGCGATACGTTGATGTATGTGTTGTAGGCGATACGTTGATGTATGTGTTGTAGGCGATACGTTGATGTATGTGTTGTAGGCGATACGTTGATGTATGTGTTGTAGGCGATACGTTGATGTATGTGTTGTAGGCGATACGTTGATGTATGTGTTGTAGGCGATACGTTGATGTATGTGTTGTAGGCGATACGTTGATGTATGTGTTGTAGGCGATACGTTGATGTATGTGTTGTAGGCGATACGTTGATGTATGTGTTGTAGGCGATACGTTGATGTATGTGTTGTAGGCGATACGTTGATGTATGTGTTGTAGGCGATACGTTGATGTATGTGTTGTAGGCGATACGTTGATGTATGTGTTGTAGGCGATACGTTGATGTATGTGTTGTAGGCGATACGTTGATGTATGTGTTGTAGGCGATACGTTGATGTATGTGTTGTAGGCGATACGTTGATGTATGTGTTGTAGGCGATACGTTGATGTATGTGTTGTAGGCGATACGTTGATGTATGTGTTGTAGGCGATACGTTGATGTATGTGTTGTAGGCGATACGTTGATGTATGTGTTGTAGGCGATACGTTGATGTATGTGTTGTAGGCGATATGTTGATGTATGTGTTGTAGGCGATATGTTGATGTATGTGTTGTAGGCGATACGTTGATGTATGTGTTGTAGGCGATACGTTGATGTATGTGTTGTAGGCGATACGTTGATGTATGTGTTGTAGGCGATACGTTGATGTATGTGTTGTAGGCGATACGTTGATGTATGTGTTGTAGGCGATACGTTGATGTATGTGTTGTAGGCGATACGTTGATGTATGTGTTGTAGGCGATACGTTGATGTATGTGTTGTAGGCGATACGTTGATGTATGTGTTGTAGGCGATATGTTGATGTATGTGTTGTAGTCGATACGTTGATATTATGTGTTGTAGGCGATACGTTGATGTATTTGTCTACTTGCAGTAGGGCGAATCTGATGCCAACGTTATAGTTTTACCTTACTGAAATACCACGCCAAAGACACCCAGGACAATATACCACCTGACCATATCATACCAACAACGGGTTAACCAGTTGTGGTGATTGACATAAATGCTGAACGTTTTACAGGGAACAATAACTACCATATAACGGCCTTTGGTATGTTCTGGCTTTCCTCGCAGCGGCAAATGTTCAACGCCAAGGTCAAAAGTTAGGTATTGCCAGTAAGGCAAACATGGAAATGGTTATTAGGAAACGGAGAGAAAATATAAAGATCTCTAATACAGCAAGAGGGGCAGCAGATTTTATATAGGGCCAAGTAGAGGACACGAAAGCAAATTCCAAATTCTGCAGATGATTTAAATATGACAAACGTGGGACTCGTGCGGAATCGGAGTATTCGTACTGGCCTGCTTCTAAGGCGAAATGGAGAAACCAGAACTGATCTGTGTCCCCATTGTGACACTTGGAATCTCCAATTTCCCCCACTTCCCTACTGTGAGGTGTCCCACTAGGCACCCGCTTCATATCAAACTGTCAGTTAATTGCCTTGATATTCCACGGCATATAAAAAACACGCGCTTAAATAATATATATGGTGTTCAAATCGTGTTATATATCTTGTTTTACAGTGTGTACCAGTCAGTCTGGAGGCTCGTGTGTAAACAAGTACTTTAATAGCTGTATGTCTGGATACTACTACTCCACCACAGGCTGTAGTAGGAACGAGGAGATCTGCTGTATACCTCCTAGTCGTGTACCGTCACAAACATTACAGCCAGGTAACCGCTTAATCAATACAGCAAGGTAACCTCACAAATAGTACAGCCAGGTAACCTCTTAATCAATACAGCCAGGTAACCTCACAAATAATACAGCCATGTCACCTCACAAACAATACAGCCAGGTCACCTCACAAACAATACAGCCAGGTCACCTCACAAACAGTTCAACCAGGTAACCTCAAAAACAATACAGTCAGGTTACCTCTTAATCAATACAGCTAGCTCACAGACAACACTGCCAGGTACCATTGTTTATAGTACGAACAGGTAATAAATGACAGGAGACCTATTTGATATAGGAAAGCTTACCCTTCCGATTCAAAGATTTATACTGTGACTATCACTGCTGTTGTTTTTGCCTCTTTCTTCTGCTGTCCTTGTGTCGTTACACTGTTATAAAGCTGTTTACGTTACCTGACAAGTCTTTATAGAACACATTAGAAGTAGGTTGTGTGACTTCAAAGAGAATTTGACTTACAACTACCATGCTCAGCACTTTTCTTCTAGTAATTCTCATTTTTGAAACACGAATATTTTATTACAGATTTCGATATATTGGAAACAATATTTTAAATTCGTCTATTTACAGAAGGTGGTGTTGCAAAACATCTCTCTCTCTCTCTTTCTCTCTCTCTCTCTCTGTTTATTACTTTATATAACAATGTTTTGATAAGTACATGATTTTGTTACAGATATACATTTGAAACTCAAAACGCATAATTTCTGTTTATGTGACATTTAAATGTAGGTCAGTGCGGTATACAAACCAATGTAGGGACCAACAGGATTGTAGGAGGGACGCCGGCGGCAGTAGGGGAATTCCCCTGGCAGGTATTTATGGGCTGTTATATCACTTAATAGTATCACAATTGTTATCTCTGTTTAGTTTTACGTGGCTGTTTTTTTCCGATTGTGTTATGCGACATCTAAAAAACGGCTGATTGAGGACTATACCTGTGCAAAAGCGGAATATATACTCATCTTAACGAATAACTGTTATATACATTGAATAAATCAGAGGTATGATACTAACAAACTACATAAATATTTACCCCATATTCTGTTGTCTCAAAGAAAATTAATCCCAGAAATGATATGACCTCACATGTTTGTCAATTTACAAATTTCACACAATGGTAACACCTATATTCTATTGTTTCTTGGTTCTCGATATTAATTCATGTTAAACAATTTGGTTCAACGCCCCCCCCCCCCCTTTCAAAAGAAGAAGATGATATAATTAAAAAGGGACATAACGTAAGCCGGATGACAGTTAAACATCGCCGGCCAAAAGTGTTGACTCGTTGACTCATTACTAGCAAATGATTGACTCATACCGACGTGTAACACCAATTAGACTTACTTGTCAATAGTTTTGACTGTTGCCTGACAAACTTCGATTAACTGATAGCAGAGCTCACTAAACATCGTTTAAAGAAACTTATAATGAAAATAATGTCAGATAACATTTTTTTATTGATCAAGTAACAAAACAAATGTTTCTTGTCGTTACAAGCAACAATTGAAACTATTTTACCTGGCGACGAGTTCAACTGAATAATAAGCTGTTTCTGAGGCCGCGGAGTAAATGTTTTGACTATTGACTGTAAAGGCATATGACTACTCTATAACGCCTCGAAACAAGGTGTATACCGTGTATTCCCGGTATTCTAATGTTTTAATTCAGAGTGCACACAAATTAACCCTTATATCCTGATAATTAATTAAAAATGAAAAACAATCTCCGACCCATTCGTTCACAGGTGTCCATGCAGTCACATGGTCAGCACGTGTGCGGAGGGATATTGATAGCGGACCAATGGGTGCTAACGGCTGCTCACTGCTTTCGCGAGTAAGTTCTCTTGAACCGTTGCAAACTTTCACAGATTGATGTCATTGTTAGCGTGGAACATATTGAATACTGTGTGTCTTTGGTAGTCGCTTATCGACATTTTACCCATATTTACTATAGTATCGTTCCATATGTTTTTAATTTCTATATACATTAAGTCAATCCGTAATATGTATGTAACCGTAAATGAGAATACAAAATGTAACCGTAGATGAGAATAAAAATAGTGTCATGGCTTACAAACATGGGTTTACCTGGTTATCCGTGCCCTCCAGTTCATCACATTTACTATTGTACAATTACAAGTAGGGTAAGCGAGATACAAGACATATAAAGTAGTCAATGGGTTATACTATTACTGCTGGTAGGGCGCTAAGCCCGATAAACCATACAAATTACATAGAAACATTGCTGTCATATCTAATCGTTTTCGTTGTCTGAAGCTTCTTTCCACTCGTGAACCTAATTGCACATTTGAAACTAAATATTTTTAAACCACGACAGTCTTTCTATTTAATCAGTGTACCTCGAGTAAAGCACGAGTCGAGTATATCCCACTTTATGATGGAAAAGGGAGATAGTTGTGGAATTCCTTGAGGCATTGCGTCACCTTACTGCATCAATTGTAATAGTTATGACATTAACTTTTTCTTTTAACATTTTTCTGTCGTTTGTCCTTACTTTCTCGCCTCTCTTTGCACACATACCGTTTTCTGCTGTTCGGCCATGTATGAACTTCTCATCTTGATATCGGTGTCAAATCTGTCAACACGTGCAAGCTTTTTCCTTGCAGCTCGTGCACACGTTTGACCATCATATTTGCTAATAACGTGTAAATACGTGTCTCTCTGGTATACTGAGATATATAAATATAAAGATTTCATGTACAGTAATTAACATGCGTGGTCATATAGAGGGATACAGTATAATAGAAACGGAGATGTACTGCAGTTACATATAATAAATACTTTCATGCAGGGGAACAGACAGAATTAATATATTTGATAAAAGTACATACTTTTTTTAGGAATGCTTTTCTTTTAGATGACATTATAACCTTAAGCGATACTACACTATCATAGAGGATAGGGATATTTTCCTTTCATTATCTAATGCCGGACATTCAAATATATAATGGAATTCATCTCCGATAATACGTTCATATCTTGGTATATTACTCCTAATTCCGGCTTACGACGTGGTGTTAATTTGAAATTAAAAATGAATGCATGGGAAAAGATGGGAATGGTACATGTATATATAAATGTTCAAACTCAGCCACTTCTCTATAACCACATGGAACCTATTGAGGCCACGATAATTTGATTTAACAAGAAACTAACACTCACATACCATATATAAGAACATAGAATACCAACATTAAATTTGAACTGCTAACTTGTATGATACCTGAAAGGTAATGCCATGTACAGCTCATTGTTTATTTATGAACTTATGATTACGGAGCTGTGACGTTATTGGCAATGGACTTCATTTTATTACCAATACTATCAACCAGCTTTTATTTATGTCCTACAGCTGACAGCAGAGGAAATGTAAACATTCCTATAGTCAGAATACAATCTGTGTATCTGTGTATAAATAAATATATATAGGACTAGTAGTTAGCGCCTGATAAGGCAGCTCCTGCGAATTCCTCAATATTGTATTGATTAATATATATATGCTAATTGTATTGACTGTATAAAATTGTATATCTATGTACTGTAAAGCGTTTTAGAGTGGCTTATGTTAGCTAGATAGGGCGCTATATCAAATGTTGTATATTTTTATATTTTTAAATCGCCAATAACAGTTAAATACAGTTTGGTTGTATTATATACATAAATGACCTCAGGCGATTCCCTTCAGGATGTTTATAATCAAACTTCAGATTGATGTATAACAGATAGAGTTGGAACAATTCGAATTCCTATTTATTCTTGTTATATACCTTGATATGTAAATGCATATTTGTGTTTTAAACCAAATCAATTAGAAGGAAATAAACGGATAAAACACTCATTATTATTTTTGCCGTGAAACAATGACATCATCTCGTTGTTTTTGTGACGTCACCATGAGTGCCATTACATATGTTGGTATTCCACTATAAATAAAAACACATTGTCAATACAGTGATACTTTGCTGCTATTATACTGTTATCAATCTGTTGAAACAATATACAGTAAAAGTAAATAAACAAAGTGTTGCATTCCTTTTTTATATCAATGTTATTAAAAGGATACACAGAACATCAATGTAATTGAATTGTTCTTAACCCAGGTTAAGGAATAGTACAGGTGAATACACAAACATTATTACAATTGTAATGCATTGTTATTAATATGCTATCAAACTGTTATTACACTGTCCAGAAAAAATAAATAAACAAAACGTTATATTCGACATCAATGTAATTTACCTGCTATTGCTTCATTGTTATTAATATGTTATCAAACTGTTATAAACAAAACGTTGTTCCAATTTTAATTCATTGACATGACATTGTTATCAAATTGTGGTTACACTGGTGTGCACAGTGACTAAAATATATGAAACATCCTCTTTTACCTTGTAGAAACAAGAATCCCTTTGCTTGGACAGTTGTTCTAGGTGAACACGATCGAGCAGTTCTCGAAGGTTATGAGAAACTGGAAAAGGTTGAGACCCTCTTTATTCATTCTCAGTTTGACGAAACATCATTCACCAACGATATTGCCATCGTAAAGCTAGGAGATAGAATTAACATTGACGGGCAGTACGTACGATCAGTCTGTCTACCCGGCATGAATGATACATACGATAACATGATTTGTTCCATAACCGGATGGGGAGCTGCGTTTACTGGTAAGCTATGATCATTACTGGATAGGGCGTTGCGTTTACTGGTAAGCTATGATCATTACTGGATGGGGCGCTGCGTTTACTGGTAAGCTATGATCATTACTGGATGGGGCGTTGCGTTTACTGGTAAGCAATGATCATTACTGGATGGGGCGCTGCGTTTACTGGTAAGCTATGATCATTACTGGATGGGCGCTGCGTTTACTGGTAAGCAATGATCATTACTGGATGGGGAGCTGCGTTTACTGGTAAGCTAAGATCATTACTGGATGGGGCGCTGCGTTTACTGGTAAGCTAAGATCATTACTGGATGGGGCGTTGCGTTTACAGGTAAGCTATGATCATTACTGGATGGGGAGCTGCGTTTACTGGTAAGTTATGAGCATTACCGGATGGGGCGCTGCATTTACCGGTAAGTTATGATCATTACTGGATGGGGACGTAATTTTCTCACACAAACTAATGACGTAACAATGGGGCGCTGCGTTTACTGGTAAGCTATGATTATTACTGGATAGGGCGCTGCGTTTACTGGGAAGCTACGAACTAGTACGTTCTTATCATAACTGGGCGGAGCTACGTTTACCAGTACATGAAAGGAATGATCATTCCTAGGTGGGGCGCTGTGTTTACTTGTAAGTTATGATAATTACTGGATGGTGCGCCGCGTTTAATAGTAAGCTATTGACTAGTACGTGATTATCATAACACGTTGGAGCTGCGTTTACTGGTAAGTTATGAGCATTACCGGATGGGGCGCTGCATTTACCGGTAAGTTATGATCATTACTGGATGGGGCGCTGCGTTAACTGGTAAGTTACAGTTACTAATGGGTGGGCGCTGCGTTTACCGGTAAGTTATGATCATTACCGGGTAGGGAGCTACATTTACTGGTAAGGTAGCATCTTTCTTTTAACTGGTTGGGGAGCCGCTTTTTCGAATTTGTTAGTAAGTTTTCTTGTGATTGAACGTCCCCGCATACAAAAACAGCAAGGTCATACAAAGACGGGCACCTCCGCAGAAACGAAAGGACAGAAAAAGACAGAAAGACATAAAAACAGTTCCTGAATGTAACAATAGGGGCAGCAGATCAACTTTGTTTTTTTCAAACATTTGTTTTGCCAAACTGGATCCCTGAAAAGATATAAACATACCGGTATACCATAATATTAGTCAACAAACAACATTATACATACAAATATCGGCTTATCATCCAAGAGACAGTTCTGTGTAATTCTGCAGCAACACAAAAAATAAAATAAAAAATAAAACAGAGCATTGTCAATGCGGTGCTATTTTCGATCACATGATAACATCAAACAATTACTGCTCAGCAAATGTCGATTAAATTGTTTGTTGCCTTTTATTAAAACTAAGGAGATTATTATGTTCTATTTTTACTACTGAAACCTTTTAGTTACTGTACACCGAAAAACTGTCGCCGTATCAAACTTCACCCCTTGCTGATAAAATCATACTCGCCTAGTGTTAATTTCGCCTTTCACATAGAATAACTGTGTATTATCGTTGTTCACCAATTCTGTCTTTTCGTATTGTTTCGAGTTATCTGCTCTTGTGAGCAGGTGTTGATTGCTACGTCTTTTGTTTGTGAGAGTAACGTCATACATTTTTGAGAAAACGACGTAATTTTCTCACACAAACTAATGACGTAACAATCAATACCGGCTCACAAGAGCAGATAACTCTGCAATACGAAAAGACGGTATTCGCTGTAATGTTAAATTCTCACTCATTACAGAAGGCGGAAAAGGCGAAAATTAAAATGCGGCGAAAATTCCCCAGTATACAGTATTGGTGGTTCTGCACAGATTAGTCTTTTGTTAATAACATATAAAGCCGGGGTTGTAATTTTACCCTTGAATGAACGACGAGAAAAATGTCGTTAAGTTTATACTTATAACTACAAATAACTAGCTATCCGCCGTTAACAGGTGGCCACGGTACGCATGCGCTGTACAAAGCAGATCTACCCCTGATTTCTAATCAGGTCTGTTCCTACCTGATGGACCGCACAATCCCCGGCACGGAGATATGTGCAGGACAGAAACATGGAGGAGTCGACAGCTGTCAGGTATTGATGTGGTTTTATACACACATTTATATGTAAATGAGAATCTCCGTCAGTTAAGAGTAGTTTAGGGATGGAAGTGGGGTTGGGGTGTTATTGAGTGATATGACGTGGGAGAAGAGTCTTTTCGTCTCATTGCGCTGAAAAATGAAAAGTCAGAACATGTATGCTTCTGGTGTGTTTATACATGAACACATGTATATAATTATTATGTATGTGATATGTCGTGTTTTGGGAAATATTTCGACTAAATTGCACTTTCGTGGAATTTCTTCAAACACGTAATGGAGTATTCTCCCCATTTCTCTTTTATTTCCACATGAATTGGTTTGCTGACAAACGAACCTACACCATCACTGTTTAAGGAGACTTGTTAAAGCATGTGTTATGGTCACCATGGTTATCTTAAAAAGTCGTTACTTTCCTTCTCCATACAACAAACAGTATTACACGGAACCCAAAACCATTTATACGGCGAAGTGTCATGGCTTCCAAACTACATCCTTTTGGATACCCAAATGAAAGCTGTGGTTCTGTTTGGGTTGAAGATAAATACTTATTTATAATAAAATACTGATAAAATATAAATTGTAGCTCAGTATTCGGCTGATAGTGTTTATGAGAATTATTTTAATACTGGATTCATTTGTTTAGTTCAAGCTCTCTACATCCTATTGTCGGACGGCAGGTTTAGTACAGTCTCATTATTGATTAAGATAGGCAAATTATCTAAACATATTCCCGCAAAAAGTTAAGGTTTTCCCGTAAGCTATTTATGTTTTCTTCGTAACTAGATAAATGCATGGATATTTTCTAAGTGACTAGGGTAACCAGGATTTGTTTTCATTAATATAGCAAACAATCATTATTTCTCTGTATCGAGGTTTAATTGGGGTTTTTTGGTTGCTATGGTAACCAACGATAATTTCTGTTCCCAGGGTGATTCTGGTGGACCGTTGGTTTGTCTCAAAAATGGAAAATGGAATGTGGTTGGCATAGTTTCCTGGGGTTACTCATGTGCGCAGGCGTACACTCCGGGAGTATACACCCGTGTGCAATCGTATCTAACGTGGATTTATCAGGTGATGGCGTCATATGGAGCTGCTACGGTACTTGGATAACCTGTGTGTTAGGATTTGCTGTATTAAAATCAGTGATCGACAACATTGTTGTTTTCTATTTTGACATAACTTTGTCCTGTCCTACACCTTTTCTTTAGCTTTTTTATCTTGTATCAAAAATCTTCTCTCTTGATTAGTTCAAACTACAATTCGCGGATACAAAAACAGTATTCATAAATTATTAGTTATCTCTGGGGTAGTATGGGTCTACGGGCTCATAGACCCCGTCTGGTTTTGATAGGCTCGGGGTCTATAAACACCAGACGGGGTATATGAGCCCGTAGACCCCTCCTTTCCCAGAGCTAACTTCTGCAAAGTTATATGTCTCTTTGTGAGTTTGAGTTATACTTGACTGCTACCAATATAGACCCTACCGGACATACATATCCCTACGGAAAGAAAAAAATGGTGCACTTAATGATGTTTGGCTTGGTGAGAAACCACAGAGGATGATTTACCAAGAAGAGGAAAAGACCCAAAGTAATGGCCCTTCCCCCGACATCTCCTAATCTATAACAGCACAAGCATTTGCAGGTCATATTTTGGAAAGCGACAGGGCACAAATCCCCATCACATCTGTAATCCGATATCACTGGTTTTGGGAAAGGAGCTGCGGATTACATACCAAACCATGCTATTGCTATGCTTCACCAGAGTCATACTAGAACTGTTCTGGAGGACAAGGTGCTGCATTCCGTATACTAAGAATGATGTTCATGTTGGAAATGAGAGAAGTGTCGAGTTTCAAGAGATCGAGGATGTTGAGAGCTGTGTAGAAGATTTTGAGGGCCGGGTAGAGGATGTTGAGGGCCGGGTGATGATTTTGAGGGCCGGGTAGAGGATGTTGAGGGCCGATTAGAGGATTTTTGGGGTCGGGTAGAGGATGTTGATGGCCGGGTACAGGATTTTGAGGATGGTATTTTCAAGGAGAGTGAAGGCCATGCTGAGTACCTTGGGGTCAGTGTTCTTAATCTTATCCTGGTTAAATAACAATCTTAGCAAATAATAAAGAGTATCTGATAATACCGAAATGGAGACCATTTGTTATATATAGGGGTGGACAATTGCTGCACCCTTTGATGGGTATCCTGGTGTTCATTTTGACATAAGTGAGCCTTGATGGCGTACTATGTGGCGACCATTGAAGGCCAATATCAATTAAGGATTGAATCTTGCTTTGGTAGATTCTATGGGGTGATGAATTGAGTTGGTCATGAAACAAATTTAACGACCAACTCAATTCATCACCCCATGAAATCGACTAAAGCAAGATTCAAACCTTATATTTCAATCAACGTTTTTTTCTCTTCAATAATTGGAACTTGTAAACTCCATGCAACAAATATAGTCCGTCATCGAAGGACCACCATACAACATGATGGTGTACGTAGATACTTCAATACAGCCAGCTTATGTAGAAACAAAACAAAACCGTTATTGTGAATGTCATATTTAATTTTTGTTGATAAATTCATAAGATATCTAATTTTATGACGCGTCTACGCGGAAGTATATTTTCTATCTACAGCAGTCATCTATTTACTAGCTCGAAGTGGAGAGCCGCTAAATTTCAATGTTCTACATCTTCTAGAAAGTGAAGCTGCAGTGATTAAATGTTGAATTAGACAGGAAACCAGATGTGCCTTGAAATGACGAAATACTTTGATATGGCAGTTGGCTGTTTAACTGTATTTCACATAAGATGGGACCACATGTATCTATGTTTTCGATTTGTACCGAGGGTCGATGCTGACACAAGAGGCAGAATGGGTCCTTGAAAGGAGAATTTCTATGACAGTACATGACTTGTCACTACCGCTAGCAGCCGTGAGCATGAGTTGATAATAATTTGCTGATTGATCGTTTTTGGTTGTTTCAAGAATTTCTTGAGTTGCTTCAATAAAAATGTAAAATCTCCTCAAGTGGTATCTTAAAACATGTCACTAGTTAATCTGGTCAAATTCATCGGCAAATGAAACAGGTTACATTTGGTAGTTGCATTGAATCCAACTTGAGTAGGAATTGAAATATTACCTGATGAACGTTTGTTATAATCATTTTTTTTTTTTGGGGCGACCATCGTAAGTAAATATCCATACATGATGTACGTTTGTCATTATCATTGGTTTAGTGAGGCGACCGTTGTAGATAAATATCAATACATGATGGACGTTTGTTATGATCATTGTTTTTATTGGGGCGACCATCGTAGATAAATGTACATTTCACATTACAATTGTGTTTAGTGATACGTCCATTGTAGGTAAATATCAATATATGATGTACGTTTGTCATTATCATTTGTTAAGTGAGGCGACCATCGTAAGAAAATATCAATACATGGTGTACGTTTGTCATTATAATTGGTTAAGTGAGGGGACCATTGTAGATAAATATCAATACATGATGTACCTTGGTCCTTTTGATTGATTTAGGGAGGCGATCATTGCAAGTAAATATCAATACATGATGTACATTTGTAATTATCATTGGTTTAGTGAGGCGATCATTGTAGATAAATATATATACATGATGGACGTTTGTCATTATTATTGCTTCTAGTTAGGCGACCATTGCAAGATAATATAAATACATGATGTACGTTTGTCATTATCATTGTTTTTATTGAGGCGATCATCGTAGATAAATATCATGAAGTCCAGTTGTCTGTGAATGGTCTTCACCTACGCATCGTACTGTGATACCTGTTGTATTCAGTGAGTGATATGAATTATTTACATCAGATGCTTTGCTAACTTAATGGATACCAGATCTCGCTAAGTAATCTAGAATAAGCGGCTATTATACCTTGACACTGGATGTAGCAGACTGTAATGAATGTTTGGCAAAGAAGATATTCGATAAATTTATTTATATGGTAAGTAAAACTAAGTTTTCATGTTCGAAAACTTTATCATAGGACCGACACAGTGTTATACCATTCCGCACACATTCTGATTGATGTTGATGGAAATTCTATTGTACTGGTATACATTCTGTATTGAACAGACACAATTATCATATATGTATTGTTGTGATCTATTTAACATTGGCGTATCTTATATTGTGTCGGAACACTTAATATTGTTTATACTGTAAATATAATGTATATTCATTATAAAATTGACGTAATGAAATTGTGTGATTGTATAAGTGCACTGTATAGATAACACGGGTCACTCCAATTGTATTCGTGTTTTCTGTACTGTTTTGCTACTCTCCGTGATTAATTGGCGCCATCTGTAATGCGCACTTTGTTTTGGTTGTCACACTCTTTATTTAATTAGAGGACCATGTGTTTCGAACCGTTTTCTTTACCGTATTATCAACATATCTCTTGTATAGGCGGTGTGTGCATTTAATTTGCGCGCAATCTATTTTTATGATTCATTTTGAATACGTACTGTATTAGCACAATCTATATGGTATAACCGTACTCTGTATTAAATTAGTGTACTCTGTATTGTATTGAAACAATCTATGTTGTATAAGCGTCCCTTGTATTGTATAAGCACAATCGATGTTGTATAGGCGTCCTCGGTATTGTACCCATATGCTACTTTTGTTTATCGTCCTCTGTATTGTACCCATATGCTACTCTTGTTTATCGTCATCGGTATTGTACCCATATGTTACTCTTGTTTATCGTCCTCGGTATTGTACCCATATGCTACTCTTGTTTATCGTCCTCGGTATTGTACCCATATGCTATTCTTGTTTATCGTCCCCGGTATTGTACCCATACGTACTTTTGTTTATCGTCCTCGGTATTGTACCCATATGTTACTCTTGTTTATCGTCCTCGGTATTGTACCCATATGCTACTCTTGTTTATCGTCCTCTGTATTGTACCCCTATGCTACTCTTGTTTATCGTCCTCGGTATTGTACCCATATGCTATTCTTGTTTATCGTCCCCGGTATTGTACCCATACGTACTTGTGTTTATCGTCCTCGGAATTGGACCCATATGCTACTCTTGTTTATAGTCCTCGGTATTGTACCTATATGCTACTCTTGTTTATCGTCCTAGGTATTGTACCCATATGCTACTCTTGTTTATCGTCCTCGGTATTGTACCTATATGCTACTCTTGTTTATCGTCCTCGGAATTGTACCCATATGCTACTCGTGTTTATCGTCCTCGGTATTGTACCCATATGCTACACTTGTTTATCGTCCTCGGTATTGTACCCATATGTTACTCTTGTTTATCGTCCTCGGTATTGTACCCATATGTTACTCTTGTTTATCGTCCTTGGTATTGTACCCATATGCTACTCTTGTTTATCGTCATCGGTATTGTACTCAAATGTCGTCCTCGGTATTGTACCCATACGTACTTGTGTTTATCGTCCTCGGAATTGGACCCATATGCTACTCTTGTTTATCGTCATCGGTATTGTACCCATATGCTACTCTTGTTTATCGTCCTCGGTATTGTACCCATATGCTACTCTTGTTTATCGTCCTCGGTATTGTACCCATATGCTACTCTTGTTTATCGTCCTTGGTATTGTACCCTTATGCTACTCTTGTTTATCGTCCTTGGTATTGTACCCATATGCTACTCGTGTTTATCGTCCTCGGTATTGTACCCATATGCTACTCTTGTTTATCGTCCTCGGTATTGTACCCATATGCTACTCTTGTTTATCGTCCTCGGTATTCTATTGACGGTCTCTGGAATAATTTTGAATTTGTATTTTATTTCATTATTTTCTGATTGTAATTAAGTAATATTTTGTGTAAGTGACGTCAATTGTTTGGCAGCGTTGATGTACTATTTATCCTTTCTGAACTATGAAGTTCTTGCTGAGTCTGCACTATTGTTTAGAACAAAAGCAAACGTTGCTATTCGTATTACATTAATACCATTCTGTACATGCGGAAATCATTTCGGGCCGTACCTTTGTGCCAATGGCCCATTAATTTCAGAAACTATATATAATTGTTTTTTTAGCATCTAATTGGCCCACGGGTGTTAAATATGACACGTTGTTTTCTACATTACGGGTGACACTATCGATACCCTATCGATCGT